AATCTATATCGTGTTGCAGCATGTCACGAGATCTTAATATTTATTTCAGTTTTCTTGAAGCAAATAATACCAGAATATCATATATATAACCAAATTTTAAAACAGCAAAGATAGTAGAGTTATTCAAGATATTTGAAGTACAATATTAGTAATGATATCAGAAGTACAAAAATCACAGATGTACGATAAAACATGACAAATATAGCGGATGAAAGTTTAGCGCACATCTAACAATTTTTATAAAATTCGAGAATAAGTTCTGCCTGTAGCAGATAAAAAATACCGTTACAACTGACAGTAAATTATGATTATTAAAGTTATCAGTAATGTAGTATTGTCGAAAAATACATTGCGTTCATACACAATAGTGTATGAACACATTGTACTTTTATTCTGAAATTATGTCTAGAACTGGAATAGGGAAAACGCTGAGATGTAAAAGGATTTTAATTTATATACAAGAAAGTCTGGTAAAAAAAAAGTCACTTCTCACCACAAAGTGCTCTCATTTTCTTCATATCGCATGTTCATGATTAGTCCTTTTCGGCACTGATGAAATTATCAGTCCAACATAAAGTTTTATTAACTGCGTAGAGTATTTTCGTGATGAACACGTGCCTCCTTCATCATGCGCAGCATCTTCAATATTTCAATATTACTATTGCAAGGATTTGAAAACAATTCACCATGTATGCGGCATTCTTGCAAATATGCCATTTTGAAAAGTATTAATTTATTCTCATTTAATTTTCCATAATCATTAAGGTACTTAAGCGACACATCACAACGTCGCTAACAATAATTTAATGCTGCTCATATTCAGTTTGAGCCATTGTGACTTATTCATTTTCATGTAACCATATTTTTCCGAAATTGACAGCTTCCGCCTTCACCAGCGCAAAAAAAAATTATAACATTTGTTAAGTTTGTTTACGTAACCAACTGAAATCTTTAATTTTTTGGCATTTCGCGATCAAAATTCAATTCGCGCAGGTGTGCTACGAAATAGCGAATTGAACATCTGTTTGGAGAAGAGGTATTGTTTCGAGGAAAAAAATCGAATTCGAATCGTTCTAGTGATACCCAAGATGAGATGATGCGATGGCAGATTCTTGACATAAGATTGTTGTCGATATAATGTTGATGGAAGTTAACAAAACTGACGCTAAAAGGACGCGTAAATTCATTGTATTTAATATGGAATTTCATACAAATTTACGGGATTGAGTTTTGGTCAAAAATGCACTAAAAGACTAATAGTTTTGGTTCATTATGCAAAAAAGGCAAAGTTTACTCTAAATTGTCATAGCTTTCAGGCAGAAGCGTTAAGTAAGCAGTCAAACATAGTTTTATTTCACGCATTGTTAGACCGAAGCTATTTGAATTTTTTTGATCCTTTTCTACCAAAAAAACGTTCTTTTACACCAATAAAAGTTGTCCCCTTTCGGTGCAAATCTTTCTTACTTTCTAATAACCACGTGATTTTTCACTTCTTGATTTTTGAATCAGTGGATTGCATAGTTTAGTTTCTTTTGGTTCATAACTTTTACGGTGACTATCTATTCTCTAGTATTAGCGTACATTGTAACACGATGAATTTACTTTACTGAGGCATCGAGAATACATTACAAAATTTTTGTCAGGAATACTTATGTTGGATATTTGCTATCGTTTACAGTAAATAATTGGTGGGTGCAAGCAAGTGCGAGGTGAGACTGATCTACGCAATATTTGAACAAAAATACTTTCTGACTTCATGTTTAAGCTTACATAATTTAAGC